AAACATTTTGGTTCACATTTGACCAAAAGGAACCTGTTGTCATCTAGGCTTCTATTCCAAGAAGACCTTTCACACTGAGACAGCATGATGATATTTCTTGCTGTATGGAACTTTGAGAGGAAGTAGCGTCAGATGCCCGATCTTAGTTTTATGGAGTGGTTTTGCTTTGAAATGACTTTGTGGAGTTTGCCAGGGTTCTTTTAAAATTAATTGTTAATCGAGAAGTTGCCTACTGTGACACAGTATCTTAGACCCATTTTTGGGTCAACTAAATTTTTAGATTATCTGCTATTTTACATTTTCCAATTTTCTTTTCTCCTCCTAGTGATTAATTGTATGTAGTACACTTATCAATTTGGGGAGAAGTTACTTAGCATAGAATCACTAAGGCATATCTTCAAGAAATCCATTTAGATAAAGTTGCTAACTCTCAGTATGTTTTGTTGTTTATTTGAACTTTTTTTCCATATTGATGTACCTACAAATATTTCCTTTGCAACAGTTTTTTAACTTTAAAATATTTCATGCCATTTGTTAATTTTATGTATATTGTAGACTTAAACTGGTTCCTCGAAGCATTAAAAAATTGTCTTCACTAGCAATTAATGTTTTTAAAAATTATATTTTGATATATCAAGTTTTCACTGATTGAAAAACAAGTCAACAGAGATAGGAGACGGGAGTTCTGACATCACTGATGGGTGAAGAGGGAATGGGTACAGCTCTCTTGTAGGACGCTTTGGCAGCCGGCATCAAGAAATTTTAACATGTTAATGCCCTTTTGCCAAGAAAACCCAACTTTAACTAAAGGATCTCATCAGATTGTGCATACAGATTGACATACAGGTATACATAATACAGAGTTATGTATAGAAGTAAAACTTCTATATGGAAAAACTTCTAATGGAAAACGCAGTATCTCTAAGTAGTAGGCAATTGCTAAACCATGCTGTATCTTTAAGATGAAATTCTATGCATGATTAGAAATCATGTTTTTTGGGGCCGGCCCCGTGGCTTAGTGGTTAAGTGCACGCACTCCGCTGCTGGTGGCCCGGGTTCGGATCCCGGCATGCACCGACGCACCGCTTCTCCGGCCATGCTGAGCCTGCGTCCCACGTGCGGCAACTAGGAGGATGTGCAGCTGTGACATACAACTATCTACTGGGGCTTTGGGGGGAAAAAATAAATAAAATTATAAAAAAAAAAAAAAGAAATCATGT